CTGGTTGCAGCCGTTGCAGACCCTCACGGGGTGGTCCCATCCACGGGACGGCACGGGGCGCCGCTCCTGGGAGCAGTCATCGCACACGCCCTGCCCACAGGCGCGACAGTGGTGGATGGAGAGACGTGGTGAGAACTCCCTTTGGCACTCGCAACAAGAGTGGATGTCCTGATCTGGCACCCAGTAGGCCGGCCGAGCTGCGTCCTTCACTAGGCCTGGAAAAAAAGTTTTTATTTCTCTCACTCTTTTTTTTTTTTTAAAGTTGTTTCTCTTGCTCGCTATATTATTTTTTAGATCCTATGCTTACCAAGAGGTATATCGATGGCACCAACTACAGCCCCCAAAGTGTTCTGGACAGCCTCTCCAACCTTCCTCGCTATCAGGGTGCCTCCCTCCTCCTCCAACGCAGCGTCCAGCAACTCTACAACATGCACACATCAAATCATATCATGTTGTGAACATTAAAACCGCCTGAACCAACCTGGCAAACAATACCGCACTCTTAAACTCCCACAGAGAGACTCATTTGTGTACCAGTTGGAATTCCTCTGTTGTGGAAACACGCATCACAGACCCTAACAGGCGCAAGACCCCAGCCCCTCTCAGGGACCGGCCGGGTTTTGGAGGAGCAGGTGTCACAGAAGCCCTCTCCGCAGGCACGGCAGTGGTGCTTGGTGTCGTTGGGCTGGAACTCCTCCCCACATTTATGACATTTCTACGGCACAATAATAAGTAATGCGATTTATCGGCATAACAGCAACATAACAGGAACATGGGCTATCACCAAGAAAATGTTTTAGTTACACAAGTGATGTTTCATTCACAACTACACATTCTGGGCCTGTGATTCCTTATATATAGTTAGCTAAATATTGGTTGCATACCAGGATGAGGGAATTGGGTTTCCAGTAGGCAGGAGCAATCTGGTCAGTGAGCCAGGAAGTGACCGCTTTGGCAGGCTTGACGCTGAGTTCAGACACAGACTGAGAAATGTATTTGACTCCGTCCAACAACCTCTGAGCAGCGTTGTTGTTGTCTTTCAAAAAGCCATCAGACTGCAAAGAACGGTGTAAAAACACATAATTACAGTACGCCATAGAAGTTGTGTTTATACAAGCGTCCCTCACAATTATCACTAAATACTGACAACAGTGCTGACAGAAATACAATGCCTGCCTTACCAGCTGGCGTTTGCACTGCTATATTCAGACTTGTGACTAATTATGCTTAGATCAACATGTTCCAGGAGAACATGCGACGTTACTTTTCTGGATATTTACATAAAGTATAAGCCACTCGCCTCATAGTGGCCAAATTCATATGACTCAAAGAAAACAAAAACTGAGCTTTTAGATTTCAGTGGTTTAAGTGAATTCACCGTGGCCTTACCCCAGGCCAGATGTGCTGGATTTCTGTTCTGACCACTGTTTCCACTGGGTCCTGGTTTCCATACCAGTACTGCCTGCTTCTGTAGATCACTGAACAGTTGGGACACTCAATGACATACCTGTAAAAAGACAAAACCATCTCAGTTTCAACACAGGGAGGAAAGATTCCAGAGGTGCCACACACTTTTTATATCAACTGTGCTCAATTTTTCATAAACTTTAAAGGGACATATGAAGATATTTATGAAAAATCATTCTATACTCGCAGGACTCACCCTGACCAAGCGTAGATGGCCAAGCCAAACCACGGCGAGTCAGACGAGGCCGTCGTTTTGGGAACCACTATGACTTCCTTTCCCCTTTCGTAGCAGGCCTGAGAAGTTCAGCACAGTTGCTCAGAACCTTGTCAAGCAGGTATACTTCAAATGTGGCGTAGATGTATGTTTGTACTTGCCTTGCATGTGTAGATGCGGTTGTCGTACTGTGCAGAGTACCGGCAGCGATGTTTGGCTTCATGGTCAAGACCTTCCTTTAGGTGATTCATGCTCCTCTTACAGCCTGACCTGAAAGGTGGTGCCCAGCAAGTCAGCAAGTTTTATAAATAAGTAAAAGTAAAAGGTACTGGCAGTGATGATGCTGTAGAAATCTGATTTAAAGTATTTTTGATATTTTTTTAGCAAAGCAGGGACACGCACCCACAACTGAGGCAGATGCTGGAGCAGGTAAAGTATTCATCTGGAAAGAAGGAGTTACTGGTCATATGTTCATCTGGAATCTCCCCACTGAAGCGTTCACTCAGGGCCTGAAAGAAGGCCCCAGGTGGAGATGGGAAAGGTATAAACACATTTCCATTGGCTATGCCAAAACATACTTAAATGTAAGCACAGCTACCTGCAGGGCCTTGAAGATGACACTGGCAGATCGTGGCGAGCGTGTCGTATTGTTGTCCAGCTGCTGCTCCAGGCTGCGGAGTAAACCACTGAAGTCCGTGGGAGGGTTGTAGGTTCGAGTCCCACGGTACTGGATGGAGCTGAATGCTTCCGGAAATAAGCCCAGCTTCCTGAAACGCTCCTGGATAAGGCGCTCAGCAGATTCTGAGGGCGCGTCTAAATTTGGGGTACACATACAGATGGAGACAAAGTATTGAGGCGGTGGTTTGTGTGCTTATCTTTGAAAAACACTGAGATGAGACAAACTTCTTTGATGTACCTGATCCTAGTAGATTGGTGTGGACAGTCTCGTGGAAGATGATCACCGCGGGGCCCAGGGTGGACAACGGTACATCAAGACCACAGCGATTGGTAGTTGCCTTTAATTCTCTAGTGAAATGTTTCAGGTAGGCATCTGATGCATCACCAAGGAACTTGAAGAGATCGTCATGGAGACGGTCAGCGTGTGTCCGGTAGATTACCACATCAGAGATAGCCAGGACCTTGAGGAGCAGCCGAGTTCTCTGACCCTGATTAGCCCCTGATGAGTTTAAAAAAAAGAAAAAAAAAGAATCATGAATGCCTGCCTGCTTCTACCCCGTTTGTTTCATAATATTAAGTAAATCAATAATTTCATACCAGCTCCAAGCAGTCCCTCTGTATCGATGACTACAACCTGATGCAGAGGGTCCATAGCTGCCCAAACACCCACAGTGCAGGATTCCTGAGTGGGAGACGTCTTGAACACTTCTCTCCCAAGAAAAAACGTATGGTTCAGGGTGTAGGATTTTCCCTCACCAGTGTTCCCAAAAATGGAGACCACCTTGAGAAGTTCATCTGGACTACAACCCAGTCGGCTGACAAAGTCCTCCTCATCCTTCACCTGAGAATGCAGACAAGATCAGCTCAATTGTTGTAACGCATCATTAATAAAACACCATCAAACGCCGAGTACCTCAACAAGTGCTTACCTGCATTTCCTCCTTCTCATCCACTAGCAGGAAGCTGTGCACCTTCTCCAGTTTGGATTTGAGGATTTCCATTTCACTCTCCCCAGCACTGACACTGTTCTCTTGAGGAGCTTTGGCAGGTGGGTAAGATACCAGAGGGTGCTTCCTCTTGTTGACTCCCCCATGGGTGCGTTTTTGGCAATCCAAACACAGGTTGATCTTACAGCCCTGGCAGCGGACCACCGCTCTGAGTCTCCCAGAGCAGCTGCCATCCCCTTTGCAGGAGTCACAGAAAGGAACGTGGCCCGAGGCGACCCGAACCCGGTCGTGATTCCTCATGCGCTCCTGCCGATGTAGCTCCAGTTCACAGCGGGTACACTGCAAGCTGCCACACTCATCGCATTCAAACACAGCCTCGTCCGAGCCCCCACAGGCATAGCTCTCCTGACAGACCAGGATGGTGCTCATTCCTTTGTTTACAGCTGGACCTTGACCACTCATCTCAAACCTGTGAGGTCAGGAATCCCCTGGTGTGAAAACAAGTATAAAGGATTACTGTGGGTAATTGGGATGGCAAAAGCACTGCAGGAGAGGGCACAAGGTTATGGCACCGTCTTGTGAATCTATATAACCAGATGTCAGATAACCTGTTTTGTTGAAATACTGAAAAAAACCCAAAAACAAATTCACTCATGAGCAGTACTGTCAACAAAACGATAGCAATCCATGCCCCTTTTCTCTCTCCTTACTTTTTAATGGGGATATTCAGTTTATTAAAACAGCAAAATTAAACACACAAAACTCGGACTAGTTTGTTTACCTTTTGACACAACAGCTCTGTAGCTAACAATAGCTGGCCGGCATCTGTTTTCTTGTTCTGGTAACGCTAACTTTCTACATGAGAGTATCCCACACTGTTCTATACATTAAAAATGCCTAAAAACAGGCATTGAAACTCAGTAGTAAAGAGTCATTAGCTAACAGCATTCACACAAAGAGACACTCCTGAAACAAACAACCTTCTTTTGAGTCGACTGACCTAACAGTTGCTACCAGTCCGACGGCTGTCTCGTTAAATAACCTGCTGAATCGACACAGTCTAAAAGTGGACACGTACACTACCTAACACCATACCGCCGAATGCCACGGAGAGCTGACGCTGGAGGGGGGGCAAAGTTAGCAAGCTGTTATTGTGTCAGACCCCTGTAGATGTTGCTGCTTTTACATCAGCTGATCGGCTTGTTTTTATCCAGAGGTCAAAAGTCACGGAAGCACAAAGCATTTTGGGAAACGAAGGCCTTGGAAGTGACATGGAAAAGCGCTTACTAAAGACGAGCTGTTTGTAACCTGTTTATGGCACATACACCAACGTATACCCCGTATTTGACTTTTACAGACTGTTTGACGAAAGCTGTGGACCAGCTTGAGTTATTGACGGAGATATCGACGAAAAATCAATCGTTGCCCAGAATGCTTTGCTTTTTCCAGCGACTATAGGGTCTGCTTTTGTTCTACACCAGCGTGGGCCGTAGGCACAAGCTGAGACGGAGACAGAAGCTGAAACTGACACGTATCTCGTTGATATCAAACGAAGAATAATAAATGTTACACTTACAAGTTGTTCTATACATTAAAGTACATTTAGTTGTTTTATGAACGAGTTTTTTCGCGGTCTTTTGCTTTTGTGTATGCGAGAGCCCCCCACCCTTTCTGGACACCCCGGTGTCAAAACAGTGCAGCCACATGAGTGGGGATGGATTGTGGCACCACTACAGTTGTAGTTGACTCTTTAATTCAGCTCTTTAGCTATTTTTCCCTTTTAATTCATTTAAAGCATATTACTTTAAGCAGCTTTCTTTTTTCGTCATCATTATAAATTTATCACCGCCTGTCTTAATGTGCTGCTGACCCTGTCTATTTGCAGTTAACAACTAATGCTAGCTCGATGCTAACTTGACAGGGTAACCGCGTTGACACCATACAAAGGTCATCACTCGTCTTTTATGCTCATTCACCTCGTTTCGCTGTTCAGTCGTCATGGAAGACGAAGCCTTCACTGACATTTGCGGTAAACCAATCTCTCTGGACTGTCAGAGTCACTCCAGCTTTTGCAGGGAGTTCATTATCAGCTCCCCAAAAGTGTCCATGGGCAAAGTGATGGTATACACCTGCTCCGTGTGGCTTCTGGCATATGCAGTGTTCTTCTTCACCCAGGTAAGATGATGAAGGCGAGACCAAAGTGATGCAGATTTACTGACAAATCCTTCTCACTGTGGGGTTGAGGTGCAAAGTTTCTGAGGACAGCGAGACAGTGGTGAGGTGTGCAGTAGGAGCCGTAGGTGGCTTCAAGGTGGAGTGGGATTGCATCAGGGATCTGCTCTGAGCCCCTTCTTGTTTGCGATGATGACGGTCAGGCAGGAGTGTCCATAGACTGATGTTTACAGAGACACTGTGATATTTCCAAGCTACCTTGACTACCATGACCCGGACGCATCCATCAATCAATCCATTTATTCGCTTCCACTTTTCCAATTCAGTGCCGCAGGGGGTGCTGGATAGGTCCGCAGGCTGTCGTAGGGCTAACACAGACAGACAGACAACCACTCGCTCTCATATTCACACCTCTGAGCAATTTAGAATCACTAATTAACCTAACCCAACTAATTGCATGTTTTTGGACTGTGGGAGGAAGTCTGAGTACCCGGAGAGAACATTCATACTCCACACAGTAAGGCCCCCTCCAGATGGAGGGTGGTGGTACCCTCTTGCTGTAAGAGAACAGTGGTAACCACCACCACCACCATATATATCAGATAAAGGATGTTGAATATGGAGCTGGCAGGCAGGAGGAAATGAGGAAGACCATAGAGAAGATTAATGGATTTACATGAAGAGGATTGGTGTGACATAGGCGGGATAGGGTTTGATAGAGACAGATGATCTGCTATGGTGACCCCTAAACGGAGCAGCAAAAAGAAGGCAGAATACAGTTCTTTCTTTCTTTCTTTCTGTCTGTCTGTCTGTCTGTCTGTCTGTCTGTCTGTCTGTCTGTCTTTCTTTCTTAAAGATACTTGTTGTAATCAGAATTTGTAAAATTGAACACTAATTCCCACCACAAGGGGCCAGTATTTTACAAGAAAGTCTCAATCTAGTCGCCCGGTCTAAGATCGAGACGATGCACTTTTTTAGTTAGTGCAGTAATTTTGCAGCATTTTTTTTAAATGGCTCTGGGTTCTTTGTGTTCAAAGCTGTGCTTGTTACGTGAGCGTCCAGTGTGATCATTTAAAGTAAACTTTATTGTCATCTCTGCTATTTACAGTACAGTATATAGAGAGACGAGATGACGAGGCTCCAGTTCCATTCAGTGCAAAATAACAACAATAAATGTGGGAAGAGTAAGAATAAGAATAAATATATATACACTTTGAGACTTTTCCAGTGATCACATCATTTCTGTTCTTTCCAACTGAGCGTGGTTTCTTTCCGGCAGTGTGTGATAAAAGTCACTTTTCAGGTGCATCGGCCATTGTTTGCTGATCCATTCACTAGGATATCTCTCTATCAGCATTTCCTCTTCCTCTTCTGTTGGACTCAGAATAGACTGGATGCCACACCATTAGTATCCTGCAAATTGGCATCATGTAAAAGTGCGCTCAAAGTTTTGTTTAGCTCTCCAACTCAGTATGTAGATGTTCTGTATATAATGTCATTCTCTTGCTAGCATTAGGTACTTTTGAATGGTTGTATATTATTTTAATTTACAATGATTATTTTTAATTTAATACTTTTCCTCTCTTGCAGAACACTGCCGTTCTGTCTGGCGCTATTCTTGTCACCCTTGTTGGCATGATGCTTCACATCCACTTTGTGAAGGTAGACCACGAGTCCCTTCTCGTCATTGGCTCCTTAGGCATCCAGGTGTCCTCCAGCTATGCCTCGGGCCGCGAGATAACCACTTTCATTGAGATGAGCAAGATCAAGGATATCGTCATCAATGAAGCTATTTACATGGTGCGTTGGTGAACCTGTGCCTCTGTACTTGTGTGACATGTTGACATTTTCTCATGTAGTTATTCTACAGTTTGCTACAAAAGATTGGATTAATGTCTAATGCTTTTATTTCAGCATCAGATTATCTACTACCTCTGTGTACTGTTGAAGGACCCCTCAGAGCCCGATGCAGTGTCAAGTGTTGTGCCATTGTTTCAGGTGAGGATGAACATATCTCAAGAGCCTGTTTAGTGACTTGATTACCTGCAGGGCTGTTGATGTGGTGTCATTCATAGGAACCTGTTTTTAATTAACTCTATTTTTTTCCCTTTAGAGTTCAAAGCCAAGGCTGAACTGCTTGGTGAAAGTCTACAAAAGCTGTCAGGAGATTCTTTCAAAGTGCCAATGAAGCACATGTCATACAGGAACACCTGAGGTCATTCACCATGTTTTTCTTTTAGCCTCTTCCTTGTTTGTGTTAATACATCTTAGGTGTATTTTATATACATTGCATTTCTTAATGTTTTGCTTTCAAGGATAATGGTGTCATAATGTTGTACTGTGTTACATGATTAATTTAAAATAAATAAAACACTGGTCTTGACTACTTGTTTAAACCTAAAAAGTCAAATTCTTTAACTTGAAATGTAACTTGTAATGTAAGATCATAAAAATAATATTTAACCTTATAGTTTTTTATACGCTTAGAATTCCACAAATGATACAAGTTTGTGTATTTTGGCACCATTAGCAC